CCTTTGAAGTGGCAGACGCCCAAGTAAGAGAGTCCAAACTAAGTATCTGAAACACAAAGAAAATTCACCAACAAAAGCACAAGGCAAATCTTGTGAATGTTTGAAATAATTCACATTGGAAATATTACTTATAAAAGAACAACTTGTAGTCATAGAACTATATGAAATCTAAATGGACGTGCTCAATAAAGGAAAGACCTGAGATATTGCAAAGGCAAATCGGATTCAGCTACCTGAGTGTCGTCCAATAAATCGTGGCTTGAGTCACCACCTACAACCACCATTTTGCTCCCAACAACAGTTGCCGCATGCTATGAGGGCAAAGAAAGAGAAAATTCTTTTTAACTTTATAAATATGGCCTAGACAAATGTGGTAAGCAAGTTAGCAAGTCTGGACTATCCATTACCTGAAAACGAGGAGTGGGTTTGTTCCCATAGGTTGGCAACAGGTTCCAGTTCTTTGAACTCTCCAAACTGCAGTTATGTAGATCGCATGTGTGGGATGAGAAATGGCAATTAGGGTCATCAGAGCGACCACTTGATGATGCCAACCCCCCGTTTTCCTCCTTCGGAAAATGCAACATCTCAATTACAAAAATCACCAGGAAATAAATAACTAGAACGCACATAATTCACCAGCAAGCCATACATTGGTCTGGCTGAGCTGATTGGACGATCGGATGGGACTCCTAGTCCCCTGCAAAGGATCCTTTAAATGAACCTTCAGCCTGAATAGTGGAATGTCATAAACTTGCCAGCACTTAAAAAGTTGAACATTTACCGATATTTATCTATCCAAACTTTTGAAAGTTCGAACTTCCATCAAGAAAACTACCAAAGCGACATAAATAAGGAAATAAGCAAAGCACGCGAGTGACTCTTAAGCGTACACAAACAACAAAATAAAGTTACAATAAGCAAGAAACCAACACCACATTTCAAATGCATACTTCTATGGAGAAATCAAATGGGCCTGAAGTTGTGAATATAGCGAAGTATCCACTATATGCAAATTAGAGCTCCAAGTTACGGTTATCCTACTAAAGAAGACACTTTTTAATCCAAGGTTCCAAATATTAGGTTTTTGTTTCCAGTCCAACAAACTCTACTATCCAAAAGGAAATTGCAGGGTCGAAATAGTGAAACGGATTCGAGAGTACCTTCCTATTTTCTTCCGACGACGGGAGAAACCAAAAATCTTTGGCATTGGGTACAACGATTTCACAGACAGAGGGCTCAACGGAGGCGTCCGACCCGGAAAGCGAAGCAAGAACGGGGAATGTAGCGGCGGAGTAACCCTAGAAGGAGAATACTAGTTGGAAGAGAGGAAGGAGGTCCTTAAAAAAAGGAAAAGAGAAGCGAGAGAGAGGAACGAACGGAAGAAGAGAACGGTTGGCCCCCGAGATAAGCAGAGAAGTGACACCAGTTGCGTCCTCTCCCCCTTTCAACAGCAGTCTTTGAGAGTCGAAATCACCGGTGCTCTCTTTGGTCTCCTTTGGGCAAATGTAAGCAGAGCAGAGGAGGGTTTTAACACGAGAGTTTGAAGTCGCTTGGAAACCCGGAAGAGAATCGAGACCCAGAATCAGCACATCCGTTCTTCCTTTTAAAGAAATGAAATTTACTTTTTTTTTATCTAAAATCAAATACATATCGGGTAATGCTTCATCTTTTTTTATAAAACTAAATGTTTTTAGTATCGTCCATTTTCTTATAGTTCATTTATTAGTGTGTATGCATTTCTTCCTCACAACTCGTCGCAAAATCTTAGGATCAGATCTCATTTATCTTGGAAGAAAAAAAATATCAGCTGATTTAACTGATGAAATCTCGAGTGGTTATAGTGAAATCCTATGATCAAAAAGTTAATATGGAGGGAGACGATTTTGGGTGGGGGCGGGGGGTGTGGATCAAAACTTCCAAGTCATAGATGCTATACCACAACGACAGTTGGGACCCCCCACCCTCCCCTCCCCTGCTTCCTCCGAGTGCGTAGAGACGACTGCAGAGGAAAGCAGCATAAAAGAATAACATGTGCCACTCTGCGATGAAAATAAGAGAGCATCTGTGGCGCAATGGAGGGACGGAACGGAAGAGTCCTTTTGGGCTACAAGCGTGTCTTTATCGTTCTACTACTGGACCAATCAACAGGTCTTTGTACGAAAAGATGCTTTTTTGCAAGTACGAAAAGATGCTTATCTACGGACTCCTTTATCAATAATTCTCACGTCGTCGTGGTTTCGTCTCTTTGAGCACCTTTTTTTTAATCCTATTTTCATCTCCAATGCAATAAATTGTTTCTCTTGATACATCAGTAATCTTGCTTTTTTTTATTTTTTTTATTTTTCTTCCCTTCTATTGTTTGCTTTTCTTTTTTTATGTCTCAACAATATAGTTTTGGATATTTTATCTTAATTTTTTTTACTAAAGACTTTTATCCGATGACATCCTCTACTTGATTTTCACTTGAGGTATTTTTTTTATTATTTTGATAAAATTATTCTTATTTGTCAGCTCAATTATCATCTTATTCTCAATCATTAGCACATTACCACCAGAGCCATTGTTGGGTTGGTTCTCAATCGTCCAATTCAACCCCAGTTGTGACACCTCAACCAACTATGTAATTATCCCACTTGACTTTCGGCATGTCTTCAACGTTATCGCTAATAGATGAAGGTTATGACAAAAACGAAGGATACAATTGATAGAGGGCGAGGTGGTGACGACGATGCTAGAAACCATAAGGGAGTCAAATATCATAGAGTAAGCAAAGGTTATGGAGAAGACGGCGTTAAAGGAAGTGACAAAGAAGAGTGGGGCAAAGGTCATGACAAAGACTAAGAGGACGATTATATGATAAGTTGAGATGCTACGATGAAGGTCGAACTAAACAAGAGAAAGTTAAATTAAACTAAAGATAAAATTATTTCTTTCTTTCCTTCTCTAATATTCTTCACTAATTGTTGCTTAAAACACTGGCAATGACATCTTAGAGCATAGTTGTTTTAAAAAAAAATTAAAAGTAAATTTTAGTTAGATTCTTAAATTTCCATTAAGTTTTCTTCTCCTTCCCTAATCTCTTTACTAGTTATTACATAATGACATTACTACACAATTGTTTTATTTCCATCACCAACTTTTTAAATAAATATTAAAATTTATCTCATTCCAAAATACTAGAGTATCAGATGACAGCAACGAGGAACATTTTATCTTCAAATTTTAAAGAGCCACTATATATCTTATATAAGCAGAAAAAAAAAAACCTTGGTTGCAAATTACGAATACGGGTAAAAGAAATAGACAAACAACTTGACTGCGTGCAGTGAGGTAAAGTGAGATCGAACCTCGGAACATATGACGTGTTGTTGCCAAACGAAGTAGTACGCAATTCACTGTTCATGGCCAGCGCGGAATACAAAGCTCCTGTAGTCCTGAAGTTAAACCTGCAATGTTGGTGGACGAGCTACATTTAATTTCCACTTCACAATCAGACTACATTACATAAAAGCCTCTTTATCTATATATATATATATATATAGAGAGAGAGAGAGAGAGAGAGAGACTTGGAAGTTTTGGCTCTCACACCATATGTAGATGCATTTAGCGCGCACAGAGTACCGTAATATTTTTCTTTCTTTCCTGCGATGCAAAGTTTGTTATGCGATGCAAAGTTTGTTATGGCAGAGAGGACTGACTACCCTAATAGAACATAGGAAATTGAGGGTTGTTCTTCTCAATCCCCAGTAAGAAGCAAAACCTTCAGATACGATCATCGATGTTCTTAGTACTCTACAGAATGTAAAAGACATTAATATTCTCACCATAGAATCGGCACACATCAGATATATATCCCCAACGTTAGCTCACGCAGTTCGAGCATACTTGTGCGACCTACAAGAAAGGGGGATCGAATCGTCGATTCAGAAACCAATAATCACCTGCGAATCAAAAAGAAAATGGAATCGGAAGCAATCTGATCCCACCATTTCTTAGGCGTCGATCTCTACGCCCAAGAAATGGATTCAAGAAGAAGATTCTTGAACAGAACGAGGCGAAATCTTTAGGATCTTGCATCTCCGTCTGCAATGCTGACATCTCACAACACGTTTCCGGAGAAAGAAACCCTCGAGAACCACAATTCGATCCGTAAAGAAATAAAGAAGGCGATGAGATGAGAGAAATGTAGGCAAGATTACCCGATCTCCAACTTGCCGAAGCCGGCCGACTACAACTTGATCCATAAAGTCGAAAAAGGAGAACGAGAGAACGGTGGGCAAGATTACCCCATCTCCATGTTGTCGAAGCCGGCCGAGTACCACTCGATCCATAAAGAAGAGGACGATGAGAGAAGGGTGAGCGAGATTACCCGAGGAGGGAATCGGAGTCGCCGGCGGCAGTGGCGGCCGCGGGCATTCTCCATCACTGCATATGAGCGGGCATTCTCCATCATGTTATATAGGGCCCCAAGAAACATGAAAATAAGAAAATAAAGGCAAATAGGCGCGCTTTTCTTCTTCTTCTTTTTTTGCATATTAGTCCTTGACGTAATCAGAATTCGCAGATTGATCTCGAGATATTTAATATATTAATCACCAAAGTTGTTATTATAATTAAGACTAAAATATATTTATAATTTATAGTTCATTAAATTTGTTTTTCATAAACTAAAACCCACAGTTGTTAGATAGGCACATTGTTTTTTGCTTTCATCCTGAAAAGAGAGCAAAGCCATGCAATTAAACACCTCATACCTCATGCAGCCCATGTCATATAAATGACAAGAATGAAAGAATTGATAGTTGCAACAAAAATACAACTGATAAAGAATGAAAGATCAGAGAGTGCAAATTGAGGGAGATTATTGCTGCACTGATAAAGATGATGCTTTAAAGCCGCAAAACATAATATTTAACCTATCATGGCATCATAAAACACTACTTATGAGAGTGTATAAAGTCTATAGATTGAGAAGCTGAACTACAGATCGAGAAGTAAAACAATTGACCTCTCAATACTGTTTAGATTACAGTTCTTTTCCATTATAAGAATAAACAACGGCGAATTTTCACTAGATTATTACTTACAGAAAATGAGACTAAATGAGTCCAGAAGACAGCCAGGATAACGTAGGAAGTTTGAAAGTACAAAGGGATGATGGGATAAGAAAGTTACTGTTAAACAGAAATAACCTAAACAAGCGGCTTTACTATTGAAGAAAAGGAAAAAGATATACATGGTGAAATAACCAGCCCTATATATCAGGCTAACATTGAAAAGAATGGTATGAAAAATGAAATTGAGGAAGAGCTGTAGGAATTGATTCTTTGTCTTCATTGATGAGTGTTTCTTTCCAATCACTTCAGCATTAGCATCTGACAATCGCATTTGAGGCTGCAAATCCAGGTTGTGCCGAATGCAATTGTATTGGCATTGTGATCTATCTGAATCGAGCACTGCCCTTGTCTTTAAGAGTTTCCCTAGTAGGATTAGCACCACCAAACTGTTTTGACACAGCCTGATTTAGTGCATCAACTGCAATCTGCTTCTTTCGCTTTGTATGGCCTGCAGCAGCAGGATCTATCAGTGGTCCAGACCAAGCAGTCGCAGGCCCCTTCTGGTGGGGAAACACTGTGCTGAATGATGCATCTGAATTATCAAAGGAAGGATCATTATGATGCAAAGAATCTAATGGGTATCCAAGTGCGCCATCTTGATGTGGCGGAGGAAACTTTTCACTCTTGCTCTTTGCATTTGCATGTGTAATAAGGCGCCTTCTCTGTTGGTACCAAAAGAAACGGTAAATGCAAATTCATGCATAAAAATCTAAACATCCATCCAATAATATCGCAGCTACAAATACAAATATGGGAACCAAAACAATCATCAGCAGCTTCCCTACTGAATAGTATATTATAACAAAGCTGGTTCAGGAGCACCACATATTTTGTGTGTATTTAATAGAAAATAACTATTATTAAAGCAAACAAAGGTGATAAGTAGTGAGAAACATATTCTATTAAGCTTCTTTGTAATAGCAAAGAAGACAACAAGATCAAATAATGATCTTCTCAAGAAAGCTGAATATATACATTTAAATTGTCAACTTTCCCAGGAATGGAAGTTTCCTAAACAGATTTGTAATTGTCATTTGATGAGTAGAATAAAGCAAATTTTTGATGGCTGCTTAAAGTCGAAATCTATATGCAGCGGTAAGAGTAAAAGCACTGTGCCAGTGCAACCAAATCTTTAATGAAAGGCGTGATATATCATCACGACTTGTTAAAAAACAGAGCTCCATGTTGGACCAATATAATGTATGTGAAAGACAATATAAATAGCAGAGTGCACTATATGTCGTTCGACTGCAGCCCGATCATTTATATCTGATACACCAGCCCATGTATAGAGTCTTTGAATTATTGCAATATCAACACATTTATTCCCATGCCAAAATACTTTCCTAGTTAAAGTTGTTTGAGCATGTTATGTGTCAGGGCTAGGGGCCCACACCTTTCTGCTATTAAATTGGAAGGGAACACTGCCCATATCAATTAAACTATATATAGTCCAATCAGACTGGAACTAAATAAGTTGCATCAGACAACCAAACTTACCCGGCCGAGCAATAAAGCCTTATAATCTGGATTGATCACTAGTTTCTTTGATTCAGTCCCCCTTTGACATGTAACTTAGTATCTCACTTACTACGAGGACAATCACCACTCCTTGTACCATTCTCACTGAAGCGACCATGGATGATCAACCCTCACCATGGAATCACCACAGGCAAGTGTAGTTTTTTTTATTTTCATTTTAGTTCTTTACTTTACGGCTGCTGATGAGACAACAGGAGTTGCTCCACTAATTTTCAATCAAAAAATGGATAGATCTTATGAGATCTCATACTTAATTGCCAGTCTTTTTCTTAGATTGGGAATTTCCCCCTTCTTATGCTGTCAACACATGAAGCCACAGCAAGGTAGACATGGCTCGGCACACTGTCTGTACTATTAGGAGGCCTGCTTGCATGGGAGTATCACTCTAAACTTGAAACCATATTGAAGAGAATTGTATGTAGGTCTGTTCATGTGGACCCTTCATAATGTTGTAGTCAAAGTAAATAGTCAAATGCATGTAATGATATTTTTCAATAAATTTCATAGTAGATGTTTATTCAAATTTCAGTTGGATCAGTGCATGCCATCTGGTATTAAACACTTCAACTAGAAGCCAACATGAATCATATAGATCGGTTCTAGTCTGTATTTATTATTTTGACATCTTTTAAACAAATTAGGCAACACTGATCGGTGTACCACCTGGTATATTGGTTAAGTAGTAGTCATCCAAGTTGTCAAAACCAATGTTGGATTGAGAATTGAAACCTTGGTTTTAGAAAAAAAAAATCTACTTAAAGTTGTGCTCTTCACCATCAACCTGCTAACCAATTACACAACTACATAGCACAGTGGCAAGTTTTCTTGTTTTGGTGTCAGGGTGAGACTGGTCTTATCGCAAGGTGGCAGTGGTTATTTACATGTAAGTGAATCACAACAGCCAACAAAGTTTGTCTTTCCATCAAGTAAATGCTTTTTCCTTGCCATAATGAAATGTGAATCAACAATGATGACGTCACAAAATTTAAAAGGATTTCCATTTTGACCACACCAAGGTCTGCTTGGGTAGGAGTAAAGGATAAATTGTTCCAACTTCCAAGGGTGTAGCAACACACCCTAGGCAATCTGATTGACTTGCAATGGTCAAAACAAGGTCTGTGTTATACCATGCCGATTACTTTCACATTCCACCCAGGCTGCAATACCAGTACACTAAATGATGAAGCTTGATTTAAACTAAATTGAGCACACAACATACAAGAATACAATTAGAATAAAGGAATTAAAAATGGACGGAAAAAATCAGCAATCATAGAAGCTTGACATACAGTAATGTTTACTTGGAGTTCAGCATTAGCCTCTGGTGCAGGAACTGCTCTAGAAGCTCTTTCACGTGTGTGCATCTTCTTTGATCCATTGGCATTAATCTTTCCACCAGGAGCTCTCAACCTACAATGGTGGTTTTGATTACGTCAAAGAATATGAAAGAAATAATTGGAGAAGTTGTGGGCTGATTTGACATCCATATGTACGTATGTATGTATGTATATATATGTATATGTACATATATATATGTACATACATACATGTATATATATATGCATATATATATATACATGTACATATGTACACATACACACACACACACACATATATATACATGTTGAGTATGTACGCTAACAACCAAAAAATCCAATGAAGAAAAACTATGCAATAGTGCAAAGAATCTTTTTAACTAAACTTCAGTATTTATACACTTAGCAATTAACAGAATAAAGATAAATTAGAAAACCAAGATCAGCTGAACATTGTATTAAGAATACAATGCTCCACTGAGATGTATCATTGACCAAATATCACAATCATTCACAGAATACAATGAGTATGTAGATATAATAACATTTCATTGTTCAGAATGAGTGTTTGCATTTGCATTTGCTAATTTGCCAAAATGGTACGTCTCATATACACAACAGAGACCAATATGGTATCGACCATATACCTTTTAGCTTCTTCAACCCTCAGTTTAGCATCCATCTCCTTGCTTGGAGGATATTGTGGAAGACTTGAAGGATCACAAGCATATGGTGCAGTATTGAAAAACTAAAATCAAACAAAAGAACAAGTCAGCAAACAGAATACAGTGTCCATATTAAAGAAGATAGCTTAACAAGATAGTAATTAGTAAACAAATTTTCAGCAGTTCATTTATTTAAATTGCCTGATGACGGCTGTGATCATCCACTACGACGCAAATATAAACCATCACAACATCCTCCCACTTTCCAATGTGTGATTAAAAATGTTCATGTATAGGGAAAAACAATAAAGAGTAAATTTATGACTTCCTGCAAGCAATAAGCAGATACAGCAGGCTGGTACAGTAATATATACCAGTTTGTCAACTTCAGCACTTATAATGGGGATTTTTCCCCAAATAAAGATCCAATGGGTATAGGTTAAATAATAAGACTAGGCATTCTAAGTCATTGAACTTATCCATTTGGTGCTTCATACAAGTGAAAATAAAATACTATTCTAGATCATCACATTAGACCAAAACACAAAAGTTATTAGAACACTCTTTATTTACATATGTCATATCAACTTAACCTAAAATCACTTAAACAACAAATATGATGGATCAAAGGTAAACCCTTTTTTGTGCAACTGGTCATTTTTTAGTATATTATATTACAAAACTATGTTAGAAATATAATAAGGATAAAAGTGACCAACTAAAGACTCGCAATTCTAAGGACTCATTGTATCATATTTTTATTTTCATTTGTATTGTAATCAACAACAATTATACAAGAGATCTACACAAGAAAAAACTTTTTAACATGTGTACTTTCACATACAACAGAAATTGAAATCTTGACCTCATGACCATGTAAGATGCATCTTAACTGCTAGAATGTCTCCACCAAAACAATACTGAAAAACTGAAGTTACAACTCTAAAATAGGATGCAAATCATCATCCAGATGTAAAATCTAACAAAAATATGAAAAAAGAAATCACCTATCAAAGTTGACCAAGATGCAAATTCATGTAATCAAGGATACAAGGATTCATATACAAGTCTAACTAAATCAAGACCATGAATGGTCATTAGGCAAAAGTAACAGGCAAATTACAATATTTGCATGATCTAATAAAAGGCAGTCATATGCCCAACGTTAAGGAACATAAAAGAATAAAACTATAATTCCAAGGACTTCTTTCTTGAAGTAAGAATTATGCAATGTCCTCAATTTATGTTTAGAAGCCACACAATCTCCATGTTGAAATAAAAACATAACAGAACCATAGTATAAAAGTCATTGAATGAGAAAATGATTGTTTAAATACCTCACTATTTAAAGCTGCAGTAGCAGTTTGACGTTCAGCTGGGTCGATTGCAAGAAGAGTTTCTATTAATGGCAAGGATGATGGTGGAAAACCTTTAAAAGTCTCCTGGATGCAACGTTTGTAAGGCTGTCGGGGTTTAAAAATTGTAGCATGCGGTAACTTTGATTTTTTCCAGTATTCCTCGGAAGGAGAGCCACATAATTTAAAAATTTTATGCAGCTGTTCAACCTAATAATCACAAAATATTTATTATGTGAAAAACTAAGGCTAACTGCAGTATCAATGAACATTGCCTTTTTCATTAAATCATTGAATATAAACCACATACAACATTTGCATATACATAATAAGATCCATGCCTAACCAGGCTCAGACGGTACCTTGCAATTATAATTATACTGCAATTTCTCCTAGCATTTAGACAGAATGTAAAACCATGATAATTAAGGTGTATGGATGGTATAACATTTAGACTGAACTACCATCAGTGAGCATGTCAGATTTGACATCATAAAATATGTTGATGCTGCTATTTTAAATCATGTTTCTGATCAAAGAATTTGCTCACTTAGTTGCTACTCCAAGAATGTGCCTTCTCTCGAGAATATATGGCGTAAACATAATGATCATCCAATTTGTTTGCAGCAATCTAAAGTCGTATCCACCTTTTAGAACAACACTTTCTGGATATCAAAAATTTTTGGTGTATATCTATTTTATGATGTTGCACCCCGACATCTTGCGTTACATTTTTTTATGAACATAATAAAAGAAGAAGTCCCCTGCCGAAAGCAGAAAAAGAGAAGTAACATGCCAATGTAATGACCAACATATTGCAACAACTCAAAAGTTCCAGAACCTACCTCAGTCCTCCCAGGCATAATAGGCTTTCCTGACAACAATTCTGCCAAAATACAGCCTGCACTCCAGAGGTCTACACCCACGCTGTAATCAGTCGCTCCCAAGAGCAGCTCTGGCGGACGATACCAAAGAGTGATCACGCGGCTGGTCATGGGATGCTTGCGATTAGGATCAAAGAAAGTAGCCAAGCCAAAGTCTGCAATCTTGAGTAACCCCTTATTGTCAAGTAGGAGATTTGAACCCTTAATGTCGCGGTGCAACACTCTGTTGTTGTGACAGTGCTCCAATCCCGACAACAGTTGATGCATGTAACACTTCACCTGCTCAGAATACAAGCTTTAAAAAGAATCTCAAGAAATTTAGCTCTTTGAAGGTAGAAACGAGCATAAAAATAACCTGAGGCTCCGTGAACTTTGTGGTAAGGCTGGCTGCAAGACCAGCCAGATCGTGCTCCATGTACTCGAAGACCAAATACAAGCTACAAGACATCCTGGATGTCACCAGCCCCTCAAGCTTCACGACATTTGGGTGATCCAAGTGCCGCAATATAAGGATCTCTCTTGCCATAAATTTCACACTCTCCGGCTCCATATTGTCAAACCGGACCTTCTTCAACGCCACAATTTTGCCCGTCAAGACGTCCCTAGCCTTGTAGACATTGCTATACGTCCCTTGCCCAATCTAAACCAGAAAAAGAATGCTATCTTTAGCAAAAAGGAAACCAGTAAAAGATGCAGCAAAATGAGATGCTCGAACTGCAAAGAGGAACCTAACCTTGTCGATCTTCTCAAAGGTATCAGCCCGGCGGGGCGTCCATCCCTTGATAGCCTCCCCGGCGGCGTGGGAGAGCCAGGCGGGCCAACCAGCAGCGACCTGCTCACCGCGGACGTGGCCGGGGGGGTTACTCAGCCTCGGGTCCGGCCTCTGCCGGCGCCGCCGCAGACGTCTCTCCCCAGGGGACCGTTCCGTCTCCTCTTTCCGGACGCCGGCGTCGGGCGCATCGGTGGCGGACTCGGCCCCAGGGAGGGAGTCCTGGGCTTTTCGGCCCGAGGCAGCTGGGGTTGGTCCGGCTGGCTGCTTCTTCTGTCCGCGACGGCGGCGGTCGAGTGAGGCGGTGGTTGGGGGAGGGGAGGCCTCCTTGGCGACGACGCAGCCCATCGTTCATCTCATCGGAGCCGGCCGGGGGAGTGGAGCTCGGCGGCGGGATTGTCGTTCTCCGGATCTGACGTCCGGCGGAGGGGCGATCGCAGAGCAGCGAATTTAGGGTTCGCTGTCGCCTTCTACTAGTATTACTAGAGATCGGGGAAAGAGAGGAACGGGGACGAGAAGGGCAAAGTTGGCATGTGACCAGATCAAATCTTAATGGAAGGCCAATACGGCAATCCATGAAACAGGTCAACATGTGGCCCCACGTGAAGCATAGCCACTAAGGACGGAGCCATGTGATAGAGTTGAGAAGTTTGACTACACCTTAAAGTCAATGTTGCACTGTAAATATCGGAAAATAACAATAATAATGATTCTTTTTTTGGCAGAATGCGTTCATTGGAAAGGAAGTTTCGAGGTTTGACTTCATCAAAGTCTTCCAATTAGTCAAACGCAATTTAAAGGTATACGTATCACTAGAAAGTCTGATCACGTTATCATAATAGATATCAGTAAACATAAAGAGTAGTACAAGTAGAAGCTTAACATCACACATAATAGTATGGCTAATTGCCATGCATCACTAAAGCTTTGGGAGCTTATTAGCTCCGCACACCAAATCTACTACGTAGAAGGTTTGAAGGTATCACACATGCATGCATATATATAGCTTACCATATGAACTGCCCACCGTACTTCTTGGCTGCCTCTCTGCTGTCAATGGTTGTGGACGAGCTTTTCTTGGTTGTCTGGTACGCCTGTGAGGACTGCAAGCCCCGGGGACCAGGCCCAGCCATGGGCGCCGGAGCCGGCGCAGGCCTCGCCGAATCCCTCAGGAACTCCGCAGCGGTGCCGATATCGTTCGTCGCCCTGCTGAGTTTTCCCTGCGCAGGCGCGCCCCAGCCGCCGGTGTTAAACGTGGCAGGCTCTGCTGCCGCAACCGGTCTGCTCCACGCGCTGCTGCTCTTGTAGTACGTGTCGTCGTCGTAAGCCCCGTACTGCGCTTTCGGGAGCTGAAACATGCCGCCGGGGAAGCCGAGTCGATTGCCGTTGCTGGCTGCAGTCTGGACGTTGCTGACGAACGCTTGGGCTTCGTACGCGTCGGATCTGTGGGTGTCGCCGCTCTTATTCCATCCGTTGTCGGTGACAGAATGGTCCTTGTGATGGTGGGGAGGGTAGTCGAGCATCACCGGGGAGGCTTTTCCGTCGCTACCGATGACCACTGGCCTGCACACATGGTCACGGCGGGGCTCTTGGCTGCTGAGCCAGGAGGAGGACTCCCACCGCTCTCTGGTTGTTTTCCCTCCATCATCGTCGGTGCTCCAGGTCTGGAACCTGAAGCCCGTCCTCTCCTTGCCGAAGCCACCGAACCTTCCGCCAGAGGAGCTGTAGTCAGCCATCTGTTCTTGCAGTGACTACTTGGAACTCACTCGAGCTAATCCTCGAGTCTCTCCTTCCATTTATAGAGAGAGAGAGAGAGAGAGGAAGA